TGTGAGGAGTGTAAAACACCACTGTGCATGACACCATGTTTCAAAGAGTTCCACAGGCTGCAGAACTTCTAGAAACATTCCCTGTGACTGTATATGTGTATATAAAATATAGAAAAATAGTAATAAACAACATTTCATATCGTTTGTTTGTGTAAATATTTTCTATAAACAAAATAATGACAACAGTGTTTATGCCCTTATTGTGTAGTATTGAAAAAGAAATAACTTACAAAATACTGATCATGTTGGCCTCAGAGGCCATAAAAGTTACTCAGAAAAAGAAAAATTGAAAAATAATTGAAAATAGTACATAAAAAAGTAAATAGAAAAATACCGGGTGATGGCAGTCGGCGATGTTACCATATGTTGTTCAATTTTGGCAAACTTCACGCCTCCATATCTCGGTAACAATTGATGGTAAAATTTTTTTGTTTAGCCTATAATGTTTAGAAAAAAAAAACTATTTTTTCATAAAAAAATAATTTTTTTTTTTTTTTTTTAAATTTGGCCAACCCTGAGAACGAGTTTCTGAGAGGGCCTGTCGACCCTCAAAGGGTTAATGAATCTCAACACGGTTATATAAAGGGGCATTCCTGTCTTACGAATTTACTAACATTTTTCACCAAGGTGTTTGAGGAAGCAGATCATGGTAATGAATATGATATTGTGTATATGGACTTCAGTAAAGCTTTCGATAGAGTTCCACATCAGAGGCTATTGAGGAAACTTAAGGCACACGGAATAGGAGGAGAAATTTTTTCCTTGGTAGAGGCATGGCTGACAAATAGGCAGCAGAGAGTTTGCATAAATGGGGAGAAATCAGAATGGGGGCACGTCACAAGCGGTGTTCCTCAGGGGTCAGTGTTGGGCCCGTTGTTGTTCACAATTTACATAAACGACATAGATGAGGGAATAAATAGTGACATAAGCAAATTTGCTGAGGACACCAAAATAGGCCGTCCAATTCATTCTAATGAGGACACTAGAGCACTCCAGGATGATTTGAATAGACTGATGCAATGGTCGGAAAAGTGGCAGATGCAGATTAACCCTTTCAGGGTCAACAGGCCCTCTCAGAGACTTGTTCTCAGGGTTGGCCAAATTTCAAAAAAAACAAAAAAAATTTATATTTTCTTATGAAAAGATAGAATCTTTTCCTGATCATAATGACACCAAAAGTATGAAATTTGATGGAAAACTTACGGAATTATGCTCTCGCGAAGTTAGCGGTCTCGACGATGTTTACGCATTGGTGATTTTGCCCACTTTGAGCCCTATTTTCGGCCAATTCCAGTGTACTTGTCGACAAAAATCATAACTATTTCACTAGAACTCCATTTTTTCTATCGAATGAGTACAAGAAACCACCCATTTACCGATTTCAACTATCCAATACAGTGGTCAGAATTTAGCAATTTTGCCAATTTTACACAAATTTCAAAAGATGCCAATTTCCGAATAGGGTCCAGAATAAATAAGAAAGACATTCCTGGCACTAAAATAACATTTCCTCTGTTCATTAGTCATGTCCCCAGGCCCCTCTTACATTCTTTTGCTTTCCACTTTGAATTTTTATTCTCACAAAAAAACAGAAGATTTACTGTTATGCAGACTACTGCATTGGTGTAGAAATTGTATAAATAATATCAGTGCACTTGGGAAAGAATATTAGACTCACCAGTTGATGTGTATTGGACGTATAGCATGATTTGTTTACTTTTGAACTTTAGTAAAAATCGAACATTTCTGCTACTTTGAGCTCAATTTCAAAGTACTTTTCTTTGTAAAACCAGTCAAAATCATCTCAATTTCTGTAATATGTCTTCCATTCTATAAAATGAGACCAGGAAAACTAGAATACAACAATAAATACCATACGAAAATACAGTGCAAAGTCGTTGTTTTAATCCAAAAACATGGTCAAATTTTTTTTTTCTCATTACACACTGTGCTGCAGGATTTTTTTTATACCACGCACACTGACCACATAGACCCATTCTTTCATATATAGGCCTACCAGCTTTCTCTCACTAGATTTGAGGGTGCTAGAATTTAGGCGTACTAGTACATCAAAAACCCTGGCACGTAAGCCATACTAGTACGGCCGAAACCCTGAAAGGGTTAATATAGACACATGCAAAGTTCTAAATGTTGGGCAGGAAAATAACCATGCCACATATAAACTAAATAATGTAGATCTTAATACTACTGATTGTGAAAAGGATTTAGGAGTTCTGGTTAGCAGTAATCTAAAACCAAGACAACAGTGCATTAGTGTTTGCAATAAAGCTAACAGAATTCTTGGCTTCATATCTAGAAGTATAAATAATAGAAGTCGTCAGGTTGTTCTTCAACTATATATCCATGGTTAGACCTCATTTAGACTATGCTGCACAGTTCTGGTCGCCATATTACAGAATGGATATAAATGCTCTGGAAAACGTACGGAGGAGGATGACAAAGATGATCCCATGTATCAGAAATCTTCCCTATGAGGATAGACTGATTGCCCTGAATCTGCACTCTCTCCAAAGGCATAGAATTAGGGGGAATATGATCAAGGTGTATAAATGGAAAACAAGAATAAATAAAGGGGATGTAAATAGCGTGCTGAAAATATCCAGCCAAGAGAGGACTCGCAGTAATGGTTTCAAGTTGGAAAAATTCAGATTCAGGAAGGATATAGGAAAGTACTGGTTTGGTAATAGAGTTGTGGATGAATGGAACAAACTCCCAAGTACAGTTATAGAGGCTAAAACGTTGTGTAGTTTTAAAAATAGGTTAGATAAATACATGAGAGGGTATGGGTGGGTGTGAGTTGGACCTGACTAGCTTGTGCTGCTGGGTCTGGTGCCATGCTCCTTCCTTGAGTGGAGGTGACCAGACTGGGTGGGTCATTGGGCTAATCCGGGGGGGGAGGGGAGACATGAACCTGCTCCGCATGGGTCAGTAGGCCTGTTGCAGTGTTCCTTCTTTCTTATGTTCTTATACAGCAGGTTAGGTTCTTGGCTAATGAAGAGCCCCGCTTATACAGCAGGTTAGGTTCTCGGCTAATGTAGGGCCCTGCTTGTACTGTACAGCAGGTTAGGTTCTGGGCTAATATAGGGCCCCACTTATACAGCAGGTTAGGTTCTGGGCTAATGTAGGGCCCTGCTTATACAGCAGGTTAGGTTCTTTTCTATTTAGTTCTGGGCTACTGTAGGGCCCTGCTTAGTACAACAGGTTAGGTTCTGGGCTACTGTAGGGCCCTGCTTATACAGCAGGTTAGGTTCTGGGCTACTGTAGGGCCCTGCTTGTACAACAGGTTAGGTTCTGGGCTACTGTAGGGCCCTGCTTATACAGCAGGTTAGGTTCTGGGCTACTGTAGGGCCCTGCTTATACAGCAGGTTAGGTTCTGGGCTACTGTAGGGCCCTGCTTATACAGCAGGTTAGGTTTTGGGCTACTGTAGGGCCCTGCTTATACAGCAGGTTAGGTTCTGGGCTACTGTAGGGCCCTGCTTATACAGCAGGTTAGGTTCTGGGCTACTGTAGGGCCCTGCTTATACAGCAGGTTAGGTTCTGGGCTACTGTAGGGCCCTGCTTATACAGCAGGTTAGGTTCTGGGCTACTGTAGGGCCCTGCTTATACAGCAGGTTAGGTTCTGGGCTACTGTAGGGCCCTGCTTATACAGCAGGTTAGGTTCTGGGCTACTTGTACCTCACTATTATCCATCTTACTAATGATAAAGTTGTTAATTATCAAACTTTTATATCAATAATGAGCAATAAAATGTACATTATTGTTACATAAGCTGTGTCATTGTAGTTGGTCAGTAAGAATCAGTACCATCAGTCTGCCACAAATACCTAGGCATGCTAGTGACTTTTTTTGTAATTAATATTTTATATGTAAACCACACATTGTAAACGTTCCAACAATATAAACATTGTCATTCTCATCCTGGGTCACTAACCCTCTGGGTTATGCTGGGTTATTAACCTGCTGTTATCCTGGGTTAATAACCTGCTCTTATCCTGTGTTATTAACCTGCTCTTATCCTGGGTTAATAACCTGCTCTTATCCTGGGTTAGTAGTCCCTGGGTTATCCTGTGTTATTAACCTGCTCTTATCCTGGGTTAATAACCTGCTGTTATCCTGTGTTAATAACCTGCTCTTATCCTGTGTTAATAACCTGCTCTTATCCTGGGTTAATAACCTGCTGTTATCCTGTGTTAATAACCTGCTGTTATCCTGGGTTAGTAGTCCCTGGGTTATCCTGGGTTACTAACCTGCTGTTATCCTGTGTTAATAACCTGCTCTTATCCTGGGTTAATAAACTGCTGTTATCCTGGGTTACTAACCTGCTGTTATCCTGGGTTAGTAGCCCCTGGGTTATCCTGGGTTACTAACCTGCTGTTATCCTGGGTTAGTAGCCCCTGGGTTATCCTGGGTTACTAACCTGCTGTTATCCTGGGTTAGTAGCCCCTGGGTTATCCTGGGTTACTAACCTGCTGTTATCCTGTGTTAATAACCTGCTGTTATCCTGGGTTAGTAGCCCCTGGGTTACTAACCTGCTGTTATCCTGGGTTAGTAGCCCCTGGGTTATCCTGGGTTACTAACCTGCTGTTATCCTTGGTTACTAACCTGCTGTTATCCTGGGTTAGTAGCCTCTGGGTTACTAACCTGCTGTTATCCTGTTACTAAACTCTGGGTTACCCTGGGTTACTGACCTGCTGTTATCCTGTGTTGCTAACCTCTGGGTTATCCTGGGTTACTAACCTGCTCTTATCCTGTGTTATTAACCTGGTGTTATCCTGTGTTATTAACCTTCTGTTATCCTGTGTTACTAACCTGCTGGTATCTTGTGTTACTAACCTCTGGGTTACTAACCTGCTGATATCCTGTGTCACTAACCTGCTGTTATACTGGGTTACTAACCTGCTGTTATCCTGTGTTACTAACCCACTATGTTATCCTGGGTTACTAAGGTGTGGTAGTCAGAGTGTTATGGTTCATTACAGGGAGGTACGGGAGAAGTTCGACCTAGTATGGGGCCATGATGATGGCTCTGTCTCATACCAGCAGAACTTCACCTTTTTTTTCGACGAGGAGATGTCCAATGGTCTCAAGGAGACCGACTACATCACTACCATTAATGCTGTCATGGTTGTAAGTATGGTGTGTGTGTGTGTGTGTGTTTGTGTGTGTGTGTGTAAATTACATTACATATACATATACTATGTAGTTTCAAGAAGAGAATTATCCTGCTTGTAGTGTGTTTATGTTCAATTTCCTGTGTGTGGTGTGTTTGTGTGCTTGTTGTATGTTTAACTACATGTGTGTGTTTTAATTATTTACATATTGTATATGTGTATGTATGCTGTATAAACTCAAAATAAATTGTCAGTGAAGAAGCAGCAGAATGACTTGGTGTTTGATGTGTGGTTCATACATGTAGATACATGGTTCACTTGATGTGTGGTTCATACATGTAGATACATGGTTCACTTGATGTGTGGTTCATACATGTAGATACATGGTTCACTTGATGTGTGGTTCATACATGTCGATACATGGTTCACTTGATGTGTGGTTCATACATGTAGATACATGGTTCACTTGATGTGTGGTTCATGCATGTAGATACATGGTTCACTTGATGTGTGGTTCATACATGTAGATACATGGTTCACTTGATGTGTGGTTCATGCATGTAGATACATGGTTCACTTGTGTGTGGTTCATGCATGGATCTGGCACTGATGTGTGGTTCATGCATGTAGATACATGGTTCACTTGATGTGTGGTTCATACATGTAGATACATGGTTCACTTGATGTGTGGTTCATACATGTAGATACATGGTTCACTTGATGTGTGGTTCATACATGTAGATACATGGTTCACTTGATGTGTGGTTCATACATGTAGATACATGGTTCACTTGGTGTGTGGTTCATACATGTAGATACTTGCTTCATTGATGTGTGGTTCATACATGTCGACACATGGTTCACTTGGTGTGTGGTTCATACATGTAGATACTTGGTTCATTGATGTGTGGTTCATACATGTCGATACATGGTTCACTTGATGTGTGGTTCATACATGTTGATACATGGTTCACTTGATGTGTGGTTCATACATGTAGATACTTGGTTCATTGATGTGTGGTTCATGCATGTAGATACATGGTTCACTTGATGTGTGGTTCATGCATGTAGATACATGATTAGGGGGTGTACTTGGGATGTGTGTGGTTCATGCATGTAGATACATGGTTCACTTGTGTGTGGTTCATGCATGTAGATACATGGTTCACTTGATCTGTGGTTCATGCATGTAGATACATGGTTCACTTGATGTGTGGTTCATGCATGTAGATACATGGTTCACTTGATGTGTGGTTCATGCATGTAGATACATGGTTCACTTGATGTGTGGTTCATGCATGTAGATACATGGTTCACTTGATGTGTGGTTCATGCATGTAGATACATGGTTCACTTGATGTGTGGTTCATGCATGTAGATACATGGTTCACTTGATGTGTGGTTCATGCATATAGATACATGGTTCACTTGGTGTGTGGTTCATGCATGTAGATACATGGTTCACTTGAAGTATGGTTCATGCATGTAGATACATGGTTCACTTGATGTGTGGTTCATGCATGTAGATACATGGTTCACTTGATCTGTGGTTCATGCATGTAGATACATGGTTCACTGGTATATCACTGGACCTATTACATGCAAGGACCATGGTTCATTTCCCCATCCATTCTTCTGTGTATGTTGTCTGTTTAAGTGTGTGCGTGTTCATGTAATATGTTGTCGTGAGGGAAATAAACACTTAATAATGTGGCTACCTTAACATCCTTCACTGTTACATAAAAATTTTCTTAATTTAGAATGCCGTACAATGGTACCTCGAGTTCTGAACAGCTCCCAACTCAAACAATTATGTAAGTGTATTTTTGTAATTGCTTTTGTAAGTGTATTTTTGGAGGTCTGAAATGTACTAATGTAATTTACATTATTCCTTATGGGAACAAATTCGTTCAGTATCGGCACTCGAACAGCCTTCTGGAACGAATTAAAGTTTGTAACTCAAGATACCACTGTATATGTGTCTATATAAACATGTGTCTTGCACAAAAGATCTCTATTGTATTTGTAGCAAGTGTAAACTAATGAGGCACATGTATATCTGTTCTGTGATGAAACATGAAAACATAATATAAGTGCCTGTAAAATATCCAGAGGCTGTTGGAAGAGTCATACTGGGATGGTGGACTGTCATTTTCAAAGACCCCAAATTGAATCTCCCAGAAACCTGTAAATTGTCCTGTGCTATAAAATTCATTGTTTGCACTTAAAATACATACATGTGTTCAATGCCAAACAGAAGTTCTCTAAATACTGATTGATGCAGAGGAAGGAGCAGCTTGAACAAGACTGTGGAACACAGGTCAGAGAGACCTGTCTATTTCTGTCTCAAATTTCTGCTGAAGTTGGTCTAAGTCAGTGGTGGAGAACATGTTTATGTTGGAAGGCCGCATTAAAGTTAGCTGTAATCTAATAAGTCTGCATTCAAGAAATTTTGACTAGATGTACATTGGTACCTCGGGATACGAACAGCTCAAAACTCGAACAATTATGTAAGTGTATTTATATAAGTGCTTTTGTAAGTGTGTTTTTGGGGGTCTGAAACAGATTAATCTAATTTACATTATTCCTTATGGAAACAAATTCATTTGGTATCAGCACTCGAACAGCCTTCTGGAGCAAAATAAATTTGTATCCCGAGGTACCACTGTACTACAAAATGTCGCTTACTTTGTAAAAAGTTAATCATTATATAATGACTTCAAGAAAAATAATTAATACAGAAGACTACACTTAATGCTGTGGAAGGCCATGCTTAATGCCTCTCTCTTACTAGGCTGTACTTAATGCCCTAGATGACTGCATGTGGCCTTAAGGCTGCAAGTTCCCCACCCCAGATCTAAGATCTAAGAGCTAGATATATAGGTGTCTCTTGAGTTTCAAGTGCAGGTCCAAGTGGCTTCTGACTCTGCATGTTAGTAGATGCAATCACTTCTGTCTTGTACAGCTCCTATGTGTAGCAATTTTTTTGTAAATTTGATCATCCAAAATTTAAAACTACATAAAAAAGTCTTCATTATATGTGCTGTTCAGTTACATTTACAAAAAATTGCACAATATAGAACAGCTTTATAAGAGAGATGACTGTATACATATGGACAACTTTGAGATTAGTGTACATGTGTGTGTGTGCATTTGTGTGTCTTTGCTACAATGTTGAGGAATATTTTTGTGCCATTGTCAGTGTTTATGTGAACCTTATAAGACTTGTTGGCTACACAGGTGTATTGCAGACAACTTTTATTGTGAAGGTGTTTCTCTGTGTAGAGCTTTCTTAAGTTTATTTAAAATGTTAATAAAGAAGGAGCAAGTGGCCAGTAATGGTGATTGTGGTTGGTAGAGCTGAGATTATTTTGACACGATCCGTAACAGTTCCGTTGTTTCAGAATTCATTAATCCAACAGATTTTGTCCCTCTTTTCCAAAGTTCGTTAAATTAAATCCCATGAAATCAAAGCCTGCTAAATTGAAGTCTGTTAAATAGAGGTTTGTTAAATAGAAGTCTGTTACATCGAAGCCTTTTAAATTGAAGGTTAATTGCTAAAGATCTACACAGGGATTCTTAACGTTTCCTCCATCATTTACCCCCCCTGACTTGATGTATTTCTCCATTTACCCCCTTACTTCCATACAAACAATTTATCAACATCATAAAGGGACAGAAAAACAAGGTCAGAAAAAAATAAATTGTTCAGGTTTTGCACAAAAATAGCACAAAAATATTTACCCCTCCATGTAATTTTTTACCCCAAGGGGTAAATTTACCCCTGGTTGAGAATTACTGCTCTACACAGAAGTACACTGTCATAATAAAAGCTTGTTCCTCACCTGTGACTTGTCTTTGTAAGCTTCCCAGATGGAAATAAACACACTGCTAGAACAAAATCCTTTCAGTACCAGTGTCTTTATTTCAACTTGCTGCCTTGTGTCATTGTCTGTGTGTTCTTCGTGGGTGTATAAAGTGCTTGTTCTCTGTCAGACTGTGGCAGCTAAGATTGAGAAATTGGGGCCAGCAATCCAAGCAATGGTGGAGTTAGCCTTTTTGAGATTCAAGGAGTCACTGTTCGTCACCCGTACGGTGGGGGAGCTTCTCTTCCGAGGGTACAAGGAACCCCTGCTCAACGAGCTCACCAAGTACATTGGAGACCCAACTAATTCCAAGGGCAGATTTGGCTTCTTCTACCCAGTGAGTGACTTGTTATGACATCAAGGGATGAGGGGACTGCATGCTGCTTCTACCTAGTGAGTGACCTGTTATAACATCAAGGGTTGAGGGGACTGCATGCTGCTTCTACCCAGTGAGTGACCTGTTATGACATCAAGGGTTGAGGGGACTGCATGCTGCTTCTACCCAGTGAGTGACCTGTTATGACATCAAGGGTTGAGGGGACTGCATGCCACTTCTACCCAGTGAGTGATCTGTTATGACATCAAGGGGTGAGGGGACTGCATGCTGCTTCTACCCAGTGAGTGACCTGTTATGACATCAAGGGATGAGGGGACTACATGCTGCTTCTACCCAGTGGGTGACCTGTTATGACATCAAGGGTTGAGGGGACTGCATGCTGCTTCTACCCAGTGAGTGACCTGTTATGATATCAAGGGTTGAGGGGACTGCATGCTGCTTCTACCCAGTGGGTGATTTGTTATGACATCAAGGGATGAGGGGACTGCATGAAATAATTCCTCTAGAATTTCTGTATGGGAAAGGTGATTCACTAAGTTTTCTGTGCATGTAAAGACCTACCACACTTGGAATCATACATACAAATTATTATCATTATTATGATTTTTATTATATCTAGTTGTTTGTGTTAACATGTAAAATAGATTAGTTTCAGATCTTAATTTTTTTGTTTATATTTTGTACTGTTAGTTAGTACATTATAATTGTCAATGTGGGATCTGTAATAATAGTCCTTATTTCAGCTAGTATATGTAATCAATTTGAAAGAACAGTGGGAAAGTAAGTCACAGTACCTCTAGATGTAACCATACTGTGGCTGGAACAATTCACAACTAATCCACAATACTGTGGCTGGAACAATTCACAACTTACCCACAGTACTGTGGCTGGAACAATTCACAACTAATCCACAATACTGTGGCTGAAACAATTCACAACCCACAATACCCTAGATGCAACAGTTTGGAACTAACCCGCAATACCCTGGATGAAACAATTCACATCAAACTCATAATACCCTGTATGCAACAATTCACATCTAACCCACAGTATCAACAGTTCACATCTAACCCATAATACCAAAACCCTGGATTCAACAATTCATATCTAACCCACAATACCCTGGATGCAACAGTTCATATCTAACAAACAATTTGAAGCAGAATCTTTGGACAAGGTCTTGGTCCAGCCTGGACCAACACTAAGCCATAACCTGTATTGGTCCATTTTTGTTATATTCACAATGGTCCAGCATTACTGAGTTCATCTTCTAAGGACCCCGATGAGAATAAGTTAATGAAAATAAGGTCAAGGGTCCAAGTGAAAATAAATCTAGTGCCCCAAGGAAAATAAGTAATTTTGTCTGACTGTTTTGTTATCCTGGAGGGTAATTTACACATATTTTTCTATGTATGATAATTTGTGTAACTATTTATGTGTACCTGTACCTTAATAAACTTAAGTTAATTTAGGTACAGGTACATGTAAGTACAGTTATAATACATAGTGTAAATTACCCACTTGGATAACCCCAAAGAGTCACAGTTACTGTTCTTCACAGTGACGAGTAAACTGCTTAGTTATAGTGCCACTGACTTCTTGTTAGGCCTAGAGCTATCATTCAACACTTCTCTTGGTTATTTTACATAGTATCGTGTGTATACATATCCACCAGGATAACTAAAAACAGAGTCACTGACTTATTTCCAAGACTTTTGCTTAATTCTATAAATGTAATGCCATGCCCACGTAGGTCATTCAACACAAACACTGCTGAATCACCCACACGTTTTTAGCGAGCCACATAAATATATGGTCATGAGAAGATAATCTTGTGATCATATGCAGAGATGTAACTGCAGGAAAAGTGAGTGTCCTGTATGACCCATGATAGTTTAGCACTATTAAATATAAAAATATAGAGAGTGCACAATGCATTTACACAACACTTATCTTGGGTGACATGCAGTGTTGATCACAGCTGCCAGGCACTGGAGTCACTAGTCACTGCAGTCACTAGGTACGAGCCAGTAATTCTGTTTGATAGTTACACAGTGGGAACACCAGCAGTGTGTTCGTACACTATTCTATATGATAGTTACACAGTGATAATACCAGCAGTGTGTTACTACACTATTCTATACCTGGAGAGGGTTTTGGGAGTCAATGCCCCCATGGCCTGGTCTGTGACTAGGCCTCATGGTGGATCAGGGCCTGATCAACTAGGCTGTTACTGCTGGCCACACACAACCTGATGTATGAATAACAGCCTGGCTGGTCAGGTACTGACTTTAGGTGTCTGTCCAGTGCCTTCTTGAAGACAGCCAGGGGTCTATTGGTAATTCCCCTTATGTATGCTGGGAGGCAGTTGAACAGTCTTGAGCCCCAGACACTTACTGTGTTGTCTTTTATCGTGCTAGTAGCACCCCTGCCTTTCATTGGGGGGATGTTGCATTGTCTGCTGAATCTTTTGCTTTCATGGGGAGTGATTTTCGTGTGCAAGTTTGGTACTAATCCCTCTAGGATTTTCCAAGTGTTTATATATAATCATGTATCTCTCCCGCCTGCATTCTAGGGAGTACAGGTTGAGGAACTTCAAGGATTTCTGGTAACTGAGGTGTTTTATCACAGTTATGTGTGCCATGAAGGTTCTCTGAACACTTTTTAGGTCAGCAATTTCACATGCCTTGAAAGGTGCTGTTAGTGTGCAGCAATATTCCAGCCTAGATAGAACAAGTGACCTGAAGAGTGTCATCATGGGTTTGGTATCCCTAGTCTTGAAGGTTCTCATTATCCATCATGTCATTTTTCTACCAGATGTGATTGAAACAATGTTATGGTCTTTGAAGGTGAGAGATCCTCTGACATTTATCACTCCCAGGTCTTTTACATTAGTTTTTTGCTCTTTTGTGTGGTTGGAATTTGTTTTATATTCTGATGTAGTTTTAATTTCCTCACGTCTTCTATATTGGAATAATTGAAATTTCTCATCATTGAACTTCATGTTGTTTTCTGCGGCCCATTTGGTTGATGTCCGCCTGGAGTCTTGTGGTGTTTTCAATGGAGGACACTGTCATGCAGATTCGGGTGTTATCTGCAAAGGAAGACACGGTGCTGTGGCTTACATTTCTGTGTCAGATATGAGGATGAGGAACAGGACGGGAGCAAGTACTGTGCCTTGTAGAACAGAGCTTTTCACCGAAGCTGCTTCAGACTTTATTCAGTTTACTACTACTCTGTGTGTTCTATTTGTTAGGAAGTTATAGATCCACCTACCAACTTTTCCTGTTATTCCTTTATCATGCATTTTGTGCACAATTACACCATGGTCACACTTTTCAAAGGCTTTTGCAAAGTCTGTGTATAATACATCTGCACTTTGTTTGTCTTCTAGAGGATCCAGGACCTTGTCATAGTGGTCCAGTAGTTGGGACAGACAGGAGCAGCCTTCTCTAAACCCATGTTGCCCTGGGTTGTGTAACTGATACGATTCTAGATGGGTGGCAATCTCTATGATCTACAATGAACCCTCAGTTTTTGTTTTTAATCCGTTCCAGAGCCATCTGCCAAAACTGAAATCGGCCAAAACCGTAACCATTTTCCTCATAAGAAATAATGTAAATGGAATTAATATATTCCAGACACCCAAAAGTATCAGCAAAAACAATTTTTTTTTACCTTAAAGATAGTTACATGCACAAAAGAATGAACATTACACATGACACTTATATTTAATGAAGGCTGTTGTTGCTGGAAGGAAGACAGGGAGGAGGGGATAGGGAAAATAGGTTAGTCTTTGGAAGGGGAATCCCCCTCCATAAGGACTTTAGGTACCATGTCCTTATCTGGAGTCACTTCCCTCCTGTGTTTTTTACTGCCACTATGACCAGCTTGAGAGTCACTCTACCCCTGTCATAAAAAATATCTTTCCAGATAGGTCTGTTTCTGGCGTCTCTTTAAGATATACCTAAAAAGGGACATGGCATTGTCATTGTAAAAGTCGCCAGCACGGATTGCAACAGCCTTCTCAGGGCGATGTTCCTCTACAGATGAATGCACTTTAGACCACATTGCACAAATCTCCTTAATCGTTGAAGAAAGCACCTTCTTCCATCTCTCCTCCTCCTCCTCTGAAGCAAGTTCCTCAACTGTGGTCTGTTGCTGTTGCAGATGAAGCTCTTGCAGCTCATCAGTGGTTAGCTCTTCATTGTGGTCCTCCACCAACTCTTCCACATCCTCGCCACTCACATCCAACCCCATGGAATTCCCCAGTGCCACAGTTGATTGCACAACAGGTGTAGGGTCGACAGGGTCAGCCTCAAACCCTTCAAAACCCTTCTTTTGGACACAATCTGGCCACAGTTTTCTCCAAGCAGAGTTCATCGTCCTGGAAGTCACTCCCTGCCAAGCCTTATCTATAAGGCCTATGCAGTGGAAGATATTGAAGTGATTCTTCCAGAACTCTCTTAGGGTAATTCAGAGTCCGAGGTTATGTCAAAGCACCTTTGAAACATTGCTATGGTGTACAGTTTTTTGAAGTTTGCAATGATCTGCTGGTCCATGGGCTGGATGAGAGGAGTGGTGTTAACAGGCAAGAACTTCATTGTTACAAAGCTGAATCCCTTAGACAATTGGTCTTCCAAGTCTGGAGGATGAGCAGGAGCACTGTCCATTAACAGGAAGCACTGGAGTGGCAATTTATTATCCAGGAGGTATTTCTTCGCACTCGGGCCAAACACTTCATTGAACCATTCCAGGAAAATTTCCCTAGTGACCCATGCTGTACTGTTTGCCTTCCACATCACACACAATTTACTCTTGACAACACTGTTTTTCTTGAACACACTGGGATTTTCAGAGTAATACACCAGTAAAGGCTTCACTTTGAAATCCCCACTAGCATTACCACACAACAAGAGAGTCAGCCTGTCTTTCATAGGCTTGTGTCCTGGCAGTGCCTTTTCCTCCTGTGTAATGTAGGTCCTCTTTGGCATTTTCTT